CATCGGTACAAAGAAGGGTCAGCTCAAGATGGTGGACAGAAGTGAGATCACCTCCCGGTGGATGACGGCCAGCCAGGCACCATGGTGGGGCGTGGCGGTCCTTGCAAGGCTGCCTGGGGGGATTCTGTCAGAAGTTACAGCCTCCCCCTCTCGATCCAGAAGAGATTTCTTACCTCCCTGTCCATACTGTGGAAGTCCTATTCCAAGAGCGCCTGCTTCGGAGGTACATCTGAGTGAGGGCACACGGGGCAGGGGGCGCGGGGGAGATTTTGGAAGAGGTAGAGAGCATATTTGCTTCCTGATGTTACAATACACTCTGGGAAGTAAGGAGACAGTGGTGCAGTGGGCTGGGCCCACGTGCCATTTCTAGAAACAACAAACTCCGCAAACATGGGGCAGAAAGGACATGGGAGATTTCACACTCCATAAATAATGTAAAATGCTCTTGTGCTAAAATAGAACTCTGGTTTTATGTATGAGGGTATGTGTGTGCAGTCATTTTGTCACCCAAAAGCAGCCAGCTCCGTGAACATCAGTGAAAACACAGAAAAACACCATTTCACAACAGAAAAGTGGCCAGTATCTCTGTAAACCTCATGGGATAGATGCGGCAATGAACAAATGGACACACATGCACAGGCAAGTCCTTTCACACCTTTATCCCCCTGCTCTCTGTCCTTACCAAACAGCAAAACTCACTTGCTGCTGAGTCACGGAGACCCTCTAGGACAGGCTAGAACTGCCCCTGTGTGATCCTGAGATTGGAATGCTTACAGGAATCGAAAGTCCCATCTTCTTCCATGCAGTGATTGGTGTTTTCAAACATGCCAAATTTCAGACAGCTGATATTTAGGACAGAACTCAAATTGGGAGCCTGTCTGCCAGTTCTCAGACCTCTTTTTAATGTATATGACTTTCAGACTGTTCGATAAAGAAGTTACCTCTATTAGGTGAATGAATTGTTTCATTCTGAAGTCCACCTCAGATGTGCTTTTCTTCGGTATACCTGATAAGATGCAGACATTAGTGGCGCAGAGGATTAAACGTGGGCTGAAAACCCAGAAGTCAGTGGTGCGAATCCATGAGTTGCCCCTTGGGAGAAAGATGAGGTTATCTGCTCTGGGAACGATGGACCACCTCCAAAGCGCCCGGGAATAGTCCCATTCTGCCACGTAGGGTCCCCCTGTGAGTGGGAATCGACCTGAGAGCAGTGAAACCGCTTATTTTCTGTGTTTTCTGAGAAGAAAGGGTTTAAAATTGGGGTTGTTCCATTTACCCATCCAGGTTAACAGTCACATCAGGGACAGGACTCAAAGTCAGTGAAGCAGCTGGCATTATCCCCTCTCTACCTTGTACCTTTGGAGCAGGCAAGCCTGCTCTCTGGGGAAAAAGAATAGTACTCTTGGTTCACTGAGGCCAAAGAAAACCCCACAGCGACTGTGATTGGCGCAAAGGAGTATGTATCCTGTCTCCTCTTGGAGCTCACCTTCTTCTATTCAGGCTACAATGAACACGTTTAGAAACAGGGCCCGGATCGAACACTCATCACAGGGACATGAATTTAAGTGCTTCCTTCTGGGATTTCATGGGAAGCCACAGTGGATCTTTCTGGAAACATCATTTGGGAATGCAGATGCTTATACCTCCTTCAGATGCTCCACATGGGAGCCGAGGCCTGTCATTCCTAAGGATGGCCAACTGGGCTTCACTGACAGAAACCTAGGTGCATCTCCTGGCATCTGTGGCAAGGGCCCACGTACATACGTAGTGTTCACAAAAGAATGATTGACAGACAGCAGCCATCAGGGCTGCCTTTGCCCTGTGTCCAACTGTGCCTTCCCCTACGAGGAGCCCAGAGGACAGGCAGCAGCCATGTGACCTCACAGAAAGTCCAGAGGGAAAAGCAAGAGACCTCCCAAGATGTCAACATACTGCCCCCCCACCCCCCCACTGCCAGTGGATTCCAATTCATCTCTGAGGCTGCCAGTCATTATGGAAGCAGATGACCAGTGGAGCAGCAGTGTTTGAAGGGCAGACCTTTGGGTTTACAGCCCAATGCCTTACTCCTTCCTCAGAAGCCTGGGAGGTTCAGGATTGCCAAAGTGATTAGACTGTAAGACGACTGATGAGTCCACTGCACCGGCACTCAACCATTGGTGGCTCAGTGGTTAAGTGCTCTGCTAACACTGAGGTCGGTGGATCAAACTCATCAGCCTCTCCGTGGGGGTAAGGACATGGGTGATCTACTCCTAGGAATATAACGGCCCCGGAAACAGGGTACGGAACACGTCATATCTGCATCGGAAGAAGTACAGCCAGAATGCTCCTCAGAAGCGAGGATGGCCAGATTTTGGCCGTGTTGTCAGGAGAAACTGGTCCCTGGAGAACATCATGCATGGTAAAGTAGAGGGGCAGTAAAAAAAAGAGGAAGACCCTCAAAGAGGTAGACTGGTAGTGCAGGCCTGGGAGGTGGCTCCTTCTGTTGGGCATGGGGCCACTATGAGATGGAGACAATGTGACAGTAGTTAACACCAGCTGGAGACAATAGGGGCAGTTGCGCTTAGTCATGCTGAATCACTGAGTCAGAACTGACTGGATGGCACCTAACAACAAGATAGCTTTTTTTAAAAGGGAGGGGGAAAAATCTCAGTAACTGACTCAGTCATCTCCCTGATAATCTATGATTATAATCAGCCAATCAACTTCTTTTGCTTTATTCCGAGGACTCTTCTCTCTGTGCCATACACCACACTCACCCCTCGTGCCTCAAGAACTCCCAGTCATCACCCACTGCAGAAATGCCTGCATTGTCTCTGGGTCAGTGGCGCATACGGGGCACGAGGGATGGCTTGGCAAGTATCACAGTACAGTGCCAACAGCTCCTTGAACATAACTGAGAGAAACAAGACAAGAACCATAGGAGGGGTACCCCCCAAACCTGGCAAAAAGCTCCCCGGGGCAGAGCTTTCATGGTACACATTTTTCCCAGTAAGCGAGCATCGAGCAACACGCTCTGAGTTAATGCACCCATGGGGTCACCTGGGAAGGTTCTTTCTGGTCATAGGGATTTTTTTTGTACAAGCAGTTTCACTTGCTCTTGTTTTTTGTGATGGCCTATTTCAGAGAACTGAGTGCAGCTGGGAAGTTTTGTTTCTGCTCAGGAAAAATGCCGCAGAAACCGTTGTGCTGTTGAACACAGCTTACAAAGACAGCGCTCCGGGAAAAATTCAAGAGTACGAGTGGTTTTTCTCGTTTCCAAAAAGGTGAAATGTTGACTGGTGACAAACGTATTCTGGACGTCCATCAACTTTCTGAACAGATGAAAAAGTTGAATTGTAGCACATTTGGAGTTGGTTCCACCAGGTCAGACTGTTAATCAAGCTTTCTATTTAGAGGTTCTTAAAAGATTGTGTAACACTGTGTGAGACAAAAAGGGCTTGATTTGTGGCAGATGGGGGACCGGTTTCTCCTCCAGGACAATGCACATGCTCACGCAGCCATCTCAGTGCACCAGTTTTGGGCAAAAAACCAGCATGCCTCTCTTGTCCCACACGCCTTACTTACCTGACCTTGCTCTGTGTGACTTCTTTTTGTTTTTGAGAATGAAGAGAGACATGAAAGGACACAGGTTTGATGACAAAGAAGAGGTGAAGCAAAAACCGAGGGAGGTGCTGTCTGCCATCCAAACAGACGTTTGCAAAACATTTCCAACAATGGAATTGCAGATTTGATAAAAATATTAAGTGTAATAAAGTACTTTGAAGGTGATATGGTTGTTTTGAAAAAAACAACAACAACATAGCTTTGGGGGGAAAGGGGATTCCAGATTTTTTTGGGGGGGTGCCCCCTCATATAATGAACAAATCACACACAATAAATCCTCTTTGGTGCCCACCAAAGTTATGCTGACTACATGGTCTGAAAGACATGTAGCTCAGAATCAGGTCATCTTCCTGGTGGGTTACAACTGTCCCAGCAGTTTTCAGAAAAAAACAATTCCCCCAGAAAGTGAAATGCTGCATCGAATCAGGGCAATTACCAAATAGGAGCCAGAGCTAAAATAAACACCAAATCATCCTCAAAACAAGCACTCCTGTGCACACACACTCACACACACACTTGCCCCATCCAAAGGGTCACCTCCTCAGGACCACCCATGCCCACTTTCCTGGGTGAGTAGCTCACCCCAAGCTCACACTGCATAATGCAATGAAAAGAACAAGTAGGTGTGTTTCTTCAGGGCTCAGTGGCATAGCGTTTATGCGTTGAGTCGTTCGTTTCAAGGTGAGTGGTTCTAAACCCACTGCCACTCCTCAGGAGAAACAAGGGGCTTTCTATTCCTGTCAAGAAACCCACAGGAACCCTGTAGGCTGAGCCGGCAAACGGTTCCACCTGCAGTTGAATCGATGCTCTTTCTGGAGGCTTCCTTTGGCCTGACTGGCTGCTGTTGGTGTTGGGTGACTCAGGGCGACGTTATGGACCAGTACAGCCATGATGGGGTTGGCATGCCATCTCCTCTGTCCAGCGGAAGTCTGAGACTGTGCAGTCCAAACAGAACGGGACAGACATGTGGAACCCAGGGCAGAGGGGACGCAGACTGGAGAAGGGTGTGCTCGCCTTCAAAATGAACAGGTGCTTGTCCTCCCAGGGTCCCTAGGACATGGGTCACATCTTTCTCTCCCCCTGCTCCACTACACCGGAGTCGCACATCACTGAAACCCTACTTACCAGATGACAAGCTTCAGCAAAGCATGGCCCGACCTACTGCCACACCGTCACCAAGGGTCCTCTGGGCACCTCATACTCCACCCTCACAAAGCATCATGTCAGTTTTAAAGTGTACGCTTTCCCAAGGGGTGTAACACTCGTGCGTGAACATTTAAAAGGAAAAATGCAGAGCCGCGACACACATTGAAGAGGGGAGGCAGAGCATCATGATTGCAAGGCGCTTATGCGGCCAGTTGTTAACTTCCAGAAGTATGGGAACCCCCCCCCCCGGAACTTGACCAGTGTGTGTGACTTGTAGATTTGTCTTCTGTGCTGGCTGATGGCATGGGGGTTGAGACTGCTAACCTGAGCAGCATGTATTAGGGGGCACAGGAGGGTGTGGATATAAAGGGGTGGGCGGGAGCAAAACTATGGGGCAGTGGGGTCTGACTGGGAGTCAGCTGGGGGGTGGGGGTGGTCAGATGCTCATTTTGGATGCTTTCATAGCCAGGGGAAAAATCTAGTGCAAAACTAGATTCATGAGGACAGACAGGGAAGCACAGGAAGCCAGTGGAGCGCGAGGTTCACACTCGTTCACTGTTACTCACTGGGACCCCGTCATTCAGCAGCATTCAGTTTGCAATAACCTGTGTTTTAGAATAGCCTTAAAAAAAGAAAGAAAGGAAAAGGGCGACAGTCTTCCTTTCCCCCTTCTTTGCATCCATTATAGATATGTTTCTGGGGGGCAGGTAGAGAGAGCAGCATTCCTACAGACCCCTGTGCTTTGTGTGGAGACCTCCCCAAAGACTGGCTCGCATCTGTCCGGGGGATACCCCCGGGGACCCTGGGTTGACAGGAACAATGAGGGTCTGACAGGTCTGGGGGTTACCATGGCTCCGATGTGGGGCAGTCCCATCCCTACTGGTTTAGAATCTCCAGGAATCTCCCCAATGTTGGGCTGCTGAACACCCCAAATCACCTATTGATGCCATCACCTGAGACCAGGCCACCCCTGTTCCCACGGAATGACCAGTTACCGGGGACCTGTCTGCCAGAGGCTGAGCAGGCAGTGCCCACGCGGGGACCAGGTCGGGCATTTCCAGGAGACAGGAAGTCAGTTCTGAAGCCACAGAGGAGGGCCACATGGGCAGCCTTAGCCCCCAGCGGTCAAGAGCTGAAACGTGGGCCCACACCGGGCAGTTTGAGACACAGCCGCAGGTCGTCCTGTGTTCCCCTCAGGGAGTCGATGGCAAGACAGACACCTTGCTGTCAGTGGCAGAGGGAGCCACAGCAGACTGCAGGGTCAGCAGGTCCCGGGCAGGTGAGCAGCCGAGGAAGCAAGCATCACTCTCCTTCAGTAGCTTTCGAGTAGGGGTAGGTGGGGCCAGGCCAGGCATGAAGGCCACCCCAGGCCTGAGATGGGCCCTTCCCTGTCCAGGAGGGTCTTGGCATCGTGGCGAGTATGCCGGGCGTCTGGTCTCCATGTTTCTCTAGCCGGCTCCATCCGTTCCTGGGCTGGCCACGGCCAGGTGAGGACAGCCCCAGTGGCCCAGCTCCTGAGGAGCCTGTCGGCTTGGGTCTCCTACACACCGTTGCTGTTCCTGTGACACAGCGGGGGTTTGGAGAGCTCCCCCATGGCAGAGCGCGGCTTGTTGAGGAACTTGGGGGCCCGGCGCAGCAGCCGCTGGGCCTCCATGAAGGTCTCTGTCAGCTCCTTTTTCCACTGTGCGAACTCGGGGTCGCTCTGGGCAGAAACACACAGAGATGGGAAGATGGGGTCAGGCTCTCCACTTGCCCATTCATGATCGGGGTGAGTGTACCACACTGCACATGCGTGGTGGGAACACAAGACACACCTTCTACTGGAAACCTGCCCTGTCCTTTCACCCACCCAAGGGGCCCTGGTGGCAACCTGGTTAAAAGCTTGGCTGCGAATGGAAAGGTTGGTGTTTTGAGCCCACACTGGCAGCGTGCAGGCAGAGAGGCCCTGGCCCTATGCTCCACAAAGGTGGCAGTGGAGAAACCATAGGGGGCAGGTCCACGCCATCATCTGGGGTCGCTCTGAGCTGGAACCGACTGAGTGGTGCCGAACAGCAGCAGTACCGCTCACAGAACACCAAATTAAACCCACTCCCTGCAGTCGGTTCTGACTCATAGCAGCCCTACGAGACAGGGTAGAACTGCCCCGGGGATTTCCAAGATGAACTCTTTATGGGAGTAGAGAGTCTCAGCTTTGTCCTGCGGAGCGGCTGGTGGTTTCAAACTGCTGACCATGTAGCAGCCCATCACATACACACTACACCCCCAGGGCTCCTTTTCAGGATCTGACCCAACCCAACCCAAACCAAACGCAACATGGCTGAGTCAGGTTGGACTCAGAGCGACCCTACAGGACTGGGTAGAACTGCCCCCCTGGGTTCTTGAGACTGTCCATCTTTACAGGAGTAGAAAGTCTCATCTTTCTCCTGAGAAGGGGCTGGTGGTAGGTGTGGATTGCTGACCTTGAGGTTGGCTGCCTAGCATGTATCCCTCTGCACCACCAGGGATGCTTAGAAAGGCCTGCTACAGTCCCTCCGGTGCTCTGATACAGCCCACTGTAAGTCATGGCCTTGCATTTGTTGCAGCAACCTGTATACAGCCAGAAGGGCTCGTCAGAAGCAAGGACAGTGGCACTCGGTCTCGTGCACTGTAGGCATGTGATAGGCGAGACTAGTCCCTGGAGGATATCAAGCTTGGCAAGATGGAGGGGCAGCCGGAAAGAGGAAGACCCTCAACAAGATGATTGACATGGTGCTGGAAATCTGGGGCTCAGGCCTAGCAACGGTGGTGAGGATGGCCCAGCAGTGGGCAGTGAAGCATGCTGCTGGACATGGGCTCCTGGTGCAGGTCTGACCTTCTCTAGTCTGGTCCAGGGGTCAGTAAGTCTTTGAGATGGAAGAGCCAATCCCGTCCTTCACAACAATTTAAAAATGACTCGAGATCCATAAATATATTTGATCTGAATAATATGTTTTAAATGAAATTATGATAGTTTTGTTTCCATTTTCAATTTGCTTCAGAGCTACATGTCCATACTGATGGCTGAAGTGCATCAGTGTGCTGAGCCCTGGTATAGCCCATCATCCAGGAACAAGTGTAGAGTCTGCTTTGGCAGCGCCCCCTGCATGGGTCAGGCATGCCCCCAAGAGGGTGCTATCTCCCACTTTGGGAAACCTTGGACTGAACGTATGAGGACCTTTACCAGACTGGGAACTGAGCCATCTCAAGTTGTGCATCAAATATTTGTTTCTTTCAGCATCAGCCGGGGATGCTCTTGCTAGCTGGGGTAGCTACATAATCTGGCGTCAATTTGAAACTTGTGAGGATTAAGAAGGAAGGGGTGGAGTCTAGTCTGTCAATTGGATCATAGCCAATGAAGCCCCTGTGTGGGCATGGCCTTCTCCTGAGAATTTTGGGAATTCCTGGTATTTCCTCCTTGGAGGCAGAAGACATTTCTCTCTCTCTTGGCTCACTCCCTTGGAGTCTCTCTACTGACAACTCTTACTCCCTGAGAGACGCTCTACTGACAAGACACGTGGCACTATGCCCTGGGAGTCAGAGAAGCCACATGGATCTACCAGACCTCTGGAGCTGAAGAAGCCACATAGAGACCCCTGCCAGTGCTGAGATGCTTACAATGCCACTGGATCCACAAGACTTCCAACCCACTGGCCTGTGATCCTCCTGCATTCGGTATTATTGCATGTATTTTGTGAGGCTGAAGAGGACATTATAGATTGGTATCAGACATAGGGGCTAATATTGAACTTATGGACTTGATGGGGACTGGGTTGGGATGTTTCCTCAATACTCAGTTGCTCATGTGGCTATGGATTTGCTTCTCTAGTCTACCCAGACTGACACACTAGCCCTCGCTGCGAGAAAGACTAGTAGCTGCAACCAGGGGTCTTTGGCCAGGTCTCTACTCTCCCAAGCCTGGTGTCCTTCTCCAGGGACGATCCGTCCGGACCACAGGCAGCCACCCTTACCCAGCACTGGCTGACTAATGTCACTGTCTTGGCATCCGCCGCAGACAAGAAAGAAATCAGTAGATCAGAGCTCACCTCACACTGCAAGACAAATTGCTTCCCTCCCTTGACACGCAGCAGAATGCACTTCTTCTCTTTCACCTGCGTTTCTTCCACTGCGAGGATCTGCTCCATTGTCAGCAAGTTTTGCTAGCCGGGAACAAGGAAAAGGACCCGTGATGCCCGGCCCTCTCAAGAGTGCGTGAGTGACCTTTCAAAAGAATGCTACAGCTTAGAAAAGTCAAAAAGGAAAAAATAATGTTTTCCCTTTTTTCCTTTCTTTCATGATAGTTGAGAATTAGGGAGGGGGCAGCAGCGACTGAGAAATGCAACCCAAAGTTGAAACGATGAGATTTTCCAAAAGAAAGTGCAAAGAAAACCGTGTCCCCATAAAGGCAAAACCAGCCAAGGCGGGACCCCTCAGTACGGACCCGATGCATGAGCAGGAGTCCCAGCTCTACTTCCTCCCTGTCACGCATGCCACTGCAACCGTCCCGAGGGGACAAGGAAGTGCTGTAGATGGTTCCTGAGAGCAGAGGCGTGGACTGGTGGTTTTCATGAGAATAACTCAGAGAAACCTTAGGGAAACATCAGCTTGGCCAGAGAGCTCATGCCGGCTCATTTGGGACAAGAGGATATCAGGCCTATCAGTGACAGCCTGTAAAGATTGTCACACAGGTCCTTAAGGGTGACCGCTGTGGCAGCTGGGTGATGACCTTACCATTTTATGTTTTTTGGGATAGATACTCCAGGAATCCTAAATGAGAAACAACATCATCATAAACTCGCAGGGTCTCATTGCTCTTTTTTTCGACTTTAGAAAACGTCTCAAATAGAACACAAAATGCTGTACCTTTCGAAACCTAGATGGTTTCTTGCATTGGGCATTCAAAGGGAGAGAAAACAAGCAACAGCAAGAACAACGGAAGTCCTTCTATCCCATGGGGAGAAAGACAAGCTCTCCACTCCCATCGAGAGTGACTGTTCTAGTTTTTAATATTTTTTGCTTTCTTCCTTTTTGAGTGAGGTTTTCCCTCTATTTCAGTCTGTTATTGTTGTTAGCTTTTTTCGGGTTCTTTATTGTTGCATGTTTTTCAGTATGTGAAATCTAGGATAGGAGGGGGGAATCTATAGACACAGTAACTGGTTTGGGGGGGCAAGGCAGGGGAGGTTGGCGGGGAATGGGGAGCTAATAACAGTGTAAGAAAGAAGAAAACGTTCCAAAATTGATTGTGGTGATGAGTGTATGATTGCACTATTGCATTGCATGATAAGTGTATTATGTCCCAATAAAACGTTTTTCTTTTTAAAAAAGGGGAATTACAGTCTCAGAAGCCCAGGGACAGTTCTACTCTGTCCTATAGAGTCTCTATGAGTTGGAACCAATTTGATGGCAGTGCGTTTGGTTTGGTTACCTCTCATTCGAATCTCGTAAGCATTCAAACCTCCTCAAAAGGGGGGCCCTGGCTATGCACTAGGCTGCTAACCCATCATGCCCTGGGCTGCACAAGGGTCGGCTGATGGAGAGCAGTTAGAAACCTCCAGGTGCTCTCCCGGAGAAAGGCTCTCTGCCCCTTAAAGAGTGACCGTGTCAGAAACCCACAGGGGCAGCTCTCCCCTGCCCTATGGGGTCGCTCTGAGTTGGACTTGACCCTGTGGAAGGGAGCTTGGTTTCAGTTTTTGTTCAGACCGTGTTCAGCATAGACACGGGGGCTGTGCTATGGCAGGGTCTGTGCATTACCATAGAAGTCCACGTTAAGGGTTAGGTTGCTAACCAATGGTCAGGCGTGATAACCCACTATTGCCCCACACAGGAAAGCTGTGAACGTCTGCTCCTGAAAAGACTGACCGCCTCAGAAAGCCTCACGGACAGTTCTGCTCTGTCTTGCAGGGTGGCTATGGGCCAGAATCCACTGCACAGCATTCCCTGAGCGGGCACAGCAGCTTTGAAGGGCTGCTTTTAAGTCTCCTCAATCTAAGCTCTAATTCAGGACCCACAGAGAGTCTCTTCAATTGCAAGTGAAATCTGCGGCCTAGAACTTGAAACAGACCACCAGGCAAGGCTTCGATGACACCAGTGAGAGGGAGGAGATGCTGCTTACTTTTCACGAAACGTGGTCAGATGAGGGAGGCTTTCAAAGCTTTGGGAAGGAAAAACGGAACTGCAAGATAGGGGGAAATCCCCCACCCTCTCCTCCTGAACTTTCTGAAGCCTCTTGGTTTGCCATCGTGGGAACATCGGCAGGGATTTGAAGCGCCCATTGCAGGTCAAATGCACAGTATTGGAGCCTGTTACTTCCCACGGGTCTGTAATCCCAAATCCCTGTAGAACCCAGGATCGCTTCCTACCACACAACCAAGCAAACAAACGCACTGCGATGGAGTCAATTCTGACGCATGGCTACCTGATAGAACAGAGGAGGACTGCCCCTGTGGGGTTCTGGGAATGTACCTCTTTATGGGAGTAGAAAGCCTCTCCCAACAGACCAGCTGCTAGTTCTGAACTGTTGACCTCACGGTTAGCAGCCCACAAGGAACCACTACACCCCTCAGGGGACCTCACACAGTAGGCACTCCATTCATGCTGCCTGCCTTGCTAAAAGGGATTGTGGGTAGACCAGACAGGTCATTTACATCAGTCACAAACAGTTGCTCTCTAGAGAGCAGCTTCCTTTTCCTGTCTCGTGGATGAAAGAACCCGCCTGCTAGACTGTCCTGTCCGACCAGGCGGAGAAAAGGCTGTGAGGCCTGGGGACTTGGCCTGCACCCCAGTGCCACACTGTTGTGCCACTCAGTCCTCTTCCTGACCTGACTGACGGGGAAGGCTGAGCCATGGCACACCCAAGAGCAGAACCCCAACCGGGGTCTGCAGGAGCCGCTTCTTGGGAAGGATGGGACTCTCCACCTCTCCTCATCCCCGACCCAACACCCTCTTCATAAAACTGGGGTGGGACCCTCCAAAGGTGCTGAACAGATGAGACGGCTTGTGACTACCCCCTGGCTGATGTGAAAACCCAAAGCTAAACTCACTGTCACCAAGTTGATGCTAGTTCACAGCACAAGGTAGGACGGTCCTAGGTATTTCCGAGACGGCAATTCTTGACAGGAGTAGAAAGCCTCTCTTTCTCCCTCCCTCGGAGTGGCTGGTGCTTTCAAACTACAGACCTTGCAGTTAGCAGTCCAATGTGTAACCACTACATCACCAGGGCTGATGTTAAAACCCAAACCAAACTCAATGCCATGGAGTCAGTGCTGACTCCTATAGGGCAGGGTAGCAGGGTCCTGAGTTTCCAAGACTATAACTGCTTCAGGGGGTAGAAAGCCTCGTCTTTCTCCCGAGGAGCTGCTGGTGGTTTTGAACTGCTAGCTTTTTGGGTCGCAGTTGGATGCGCAACCACTATGTCACCGAGGTTCAAGACCATGGTCCTATTTCCATTCAGGACACTTCCATCTCTCTCCTTTTAGGGAGGCTCCAAGTGCTCCTGGTCTCAAGACGCTGAGCAGTAGGTTGATTGAGACATCTCTATTTGACCCCAAGCCTTGAGTCCTTTATGGGGGAGAAGCAGGGGGACGTCAGGGGGAGTTGTGATTTACATAACATTCCAGCCTTCTCCAAGCCCACTTGGCCAGAGGGAGCTTGTGGCCTTGTGAAAAGGCAGCATTCCATTTTTCAGAGAGTGCCACGTTTTTTCTTAGATGTTTAAAGGTTAAAGGGTGAAGGTTAATCAACATCGTTCTCCCTCCCTCCCTCCATCTCACTGCCATCGAGTCCCTTCTCACTCCTAGCGACCCTGGAGGACAGAACAGAACTGCCCCTGTAGGTGTCCGAGGCTCTTGCCTCTTTAGGAGCAGAAAGCCCTCTGTCCTGCCGGACAACTGGTGGGTTCAAACCTCTGCTCTTGCGGGGGCAGCCCGACTCACAACCCACTAGGCCACCAGCACTTTTGGTTTAACTCTCGGGTGGACGCACGCCCAATGGGAACCGGAAAGACAGCGGGCTTTGGGGTAGGGGTGTTTGTGTCCCCAACTCACCCGAGACTCAGCTTCGCCTCTCCACTCGAGCCTGTTTGGGAAGAGGTAAAAGTACCTCCGCTGCCACTGCGTGAGGAAGGGGTTCCCGAGCTTCAGCATGTACCCGTGCACGATGCAGTCTTTGCCCAGCGCGTAATCTGCAGAAAAGAGCGGGACAATGAGGGGGCGGGGCGGGGCGGGGCAGGAGTCCCAGACAGGAACGCCGAGGTCCTAGTGTTGTCAGAGAGGAGAAAACAAAACAGAGAGACACCTACATTCCCCTTGGGAAAATCTTGTTCCTGGGAATACAACACATGCTAGAGTTGCTTCCTTCTGTTAATGCATCCAGCAGAGGCTTGCTTCTTTGGCCTGGTTTCTCAGTAAATAAACACAAGTACCGAGATGGCTCCCAAACCAAACTCAATGGCAACTCCTAGGGACCCTACAGGGCAGGGTAGCATGGACCCTGTGGGTTTCCAAGATTGTAACTTTTTACCACTTGTCTGCCAGTTTGTCCTGCTGTGGTGGTTTGTGTGTTGCTGTGTTGCTGGAAGCTATGCCACTGGTATTCCAAATGTCACCAGGGTCACTCGACATGAACGGGTTTCAGAGGAGCCTTGAGACTGAGGATAGACAAGGAAGAAGGACTAGGCTGCCCACTTTGGTGGAAAGAGCCCCTGAAAAGTGAGCCAGAGCTTCCAAACATTTCCAGAGACAGAGGGCCTAATGAAGGATGGCCCAGAACTGGGCAGAAGGTGGGTCCGTTGTGCATGGGGCCAGAACCGACTCGATGGCACCTAACAACAACCACCACCACAACAACAACTCATTACAGGAGTAAAAAGCCCCATCTTTCTCTCAAGGAGCAGCTGGTGGTTTCCAACTGCTGACCCTGCAGTCAGCAGCCCAACAGGTAACCACTACGCCAACAAAGGTCCTGACATGGATGGATGGATGGATGGATGGGTGGACAGACTGACAGTTGATTGACGGGGGGACTGCCCGGAGGGTCTCTCAGGCTGTCAAACTTCACAGCAGCAGAGGGTCACATTTGTCTGCCTCTGGAATGGCTGCTGGGTTTGCACCCCTGGCTTCTTGGGGGTGGGCTGCTGAGCGCTTTAGTCACCGTGCCACCAGGATTCCACCAGGATTCGTGTTCTGCCGCCACTGGCAGATTCAATGGCTGCTACCATCTGCTGTCATCTCTCCGCTGCTCTCAATCAGCATATGTTTCTCCCCAGCTAGTTTTTTAAAATTTTCATTATGCATCAGGAGAATGGGAGAAGTGAGAGGATGTAAAATTTAGGGTCTTCCCCCACATACCTGGGCCTTTATTTGAGGTTGGGCTCCTTCCTTTAACTTACCTTTTCTCTTCGAAGGACGAATTCAGTACAGGTTGTCTTCTGGAGGTAAGCTAAGGTCCACAGCAAGCAACAACCAGCCCTGCCTCCTCCTGCAGTGATAGTTACCCCTCTAGCCTGGTGTAGCAGGTCTGCTCTGGGCTGCTAACCGCAAAGTCAGCAGTTCTAACTCTCCAGTTACTCCATGGGGAAAAGATGAGGCTGCCTGTTCCCATAGCGACGGAAATCTCAGAAACCCCGAGGAGCGGTCCTAGTCAGTCGGAGGGGCTACTGTGAGCCGGGGTCGACTTGACGGCAGTGCATGCGCTTGCTCTGTCTTCGTTCAGGAATTCGGAGCAAGATGAAGTGAAGATCTCGCCCACATTCCTATCCTTGAGCACTACTGGTTGGACATCTATGTGCTGGGCATGTTCTGGGTGCACTGGATTCAGCAGCAAACAGCAGGGATGGAGGTCCTGGCCCTCAGGGAGCATCCACTCCAATGGCAGCAGACAAGCAGAACCCACCAGGATAGAAGGACCAGGAGGGACCGGGCAGCGCAGGGAGGGGCAGGGGTGACTGACAGGGCAAGGGGGGACTGTTCCAGTGGGCGACACACTTGCAGTGCCACCTGGTATTTAAGGGTTGCGGTTAGGTGCATCCAGTCAGTTGCGACTCCCAGAAACCACCGGTTCAACAGAGGGAAACACCTCCAGTCCTGTGCCAGCTTCACCATTGTGATGTTGGAGCCCTTGGTCGCAGCTACAGGTGGGTGTCAGTCCATCTCCTGGGGGGGTGGGGGGTGGTCTTCCTCTTTCCGTTGCGACAACACCTCACGGCCCTCGAGTCTATCGCAACTCCTAGTGTACCTTGTGAGTAGAGGGTTTGCTCCAGTGGTAAACCTTGCATTGCCCCCTGGGTGTGGGAGCCTAGACACGGCTTCTCTGTGAAGGTGACTTCTAAGATCTTAAATGCATGACCCACAGGGGGAGATGGATTCATGAAGTGACCATTTGTGGCTCTAATTAAAAGGAGACAGTTCAGCAACTCCGTAAAGATACCCATCCTCCCACCTGCACCCCTGCCTCTGGGTCCCATCTGCCCAAGTTCTCCTGGCCTGGTGGCACTCCTGTGGGTAAACCAGCCCTGCTGGAACCTCCTGGGTCCTGGGTGTTGCAGAAACACAGTCCAGCTGCATCTCCATGGGCCAGCTCTCTCAGGACGAGTGCCTTTCTGACAGAGCCCAGCTGAGTGCAGGGCCAAGCTGTGCCTGGCTCTGGTGTATTCAGCCAATGGTGATACGGGGATCAATTCATGCAGGATGGTGGGGGCCAAGTACTATCATTGGTTGGATGCCTATCCGATTCAGCAGCAACCAGCGGAGATGGAGGTCCTTGCCCTCAGGGAGCGTCCACTCCAATGGGAACAGGTAAGCAGGGAGTTGTTCTCAGTCTATAAGGGGACAACCTGGGCTCAGCAGGACTCTCGGTTAAAGGTGAGGAAACTCGTATGCCCAGGTCATCATCCAAGCAACCTATTAATAGCACCAAGGTGTTTCTGGTCCTGTTTGTAGGACGCAAATCTCGTGAAGGTCTTCAGTGAGAGGCAAAACGAAAGGAAGCCTTCTTATTGATGAGCATGCCATCACTGCCTGGGGCCATCACGCAAGAGGACCCAAGAGAGGTCTGTGGGAAACAGAAAGATCTCTCCCAAGCTGTCTCCCCCAAATGTAGGCCACATTTAGCTGCTTGCTACACGTGAATGACTATACACTTGGAGGTCAACAGAAGGAGGTCAAGGTTATTCTCCCTAAGGGTTATCAGCCACCCAGAACAAGCAGTCACCACTGTTTATCCCACAACAAGTAGGGCCCAGTCCCTTCTGATAAGGATAGTAGTTGACTGTTTCCTTTTAGGAGACACCAGAGAGGTCAAACCCACCCAAGGGTGACCAAGGTTAGGCCACCATCATGAATCTAGGGTCCGCCCATCTTGTCACTTGTATACCTCTAGTCCCTCCCCTTCCTATGCGCACACCCCTACCTCATCCCCTTCCTGTCACACTTATGTCTATTGTACATCTCCTTCCTATGTTGTGTATGCCTATTGTACTGCCCCTTCCGATGTGTGGCTACCTGTAATCATGCCCCCTAAGTAGATATAAGCCTTGGTTAGCAATGAATTTGGCCCCGGGCTGGCTCTCTCCAGTGGTCTTCGCCCCACCTCGTCTTGGCCCACGCTGTGTGTGGACCTGGCTGGTAAGACGGCTATCCAGGTGGTGAGCATGCTACCATGAAATGTGTCTGACTCCATTATTCCAATCTCTTCTATTGCTCATGCTCTCTAAGACTTTATTATAATCTTTATGTATCTCAACCATACAATTGTGCCGATCGAACCCATAATTAGTTGTGGGAAGCTGGCATTTCCCCCCCACAGAGGTCCTTAGAGACATCATGGCCACAATCAAGAAGCTTGTTATTTTTCCAGTATATTGAGATATGAAAAATGTAAGGACTCATAGGAGCTTCTTAGTTTAAGAACTCAAGAGTGATTGCACTCTCATGCTCTCCCTCCATTCCGCTCTCCGTGATTCCTCTCTGATACAGTGCACTTGATCACACCCCACCAGACTCTATATGCCCTTCTTGCTATCAATTTTAGATCTCTTGTTGTTCCCTTATCCCTGAGTTTGTTGACTCCCTGTATCCCCTCTCTGCCCCCTCCTCTCCCATAACCCACTGAACCACCGGTCCCATTGTTTTCTCCTTGGGATTATTCATCTAGATAGACACATGGTGAAAAAAAAGAAAAACAAACAAACCAAAACAAAAAAACAAACAACCTCCCCCCACAACAAGACAACCATCGATATTTCCGTGTCTGCCTGCTGTCCCTTAGGTATGTTTTCCAATCAAGTCTGATGAGGTGCCAAACCCTGTTTCCCAAGTCAGAAGTTTATTTTCAGGATTCCTCACTCTTGACACATGGAATTCAGGAGAGATAAACCCCTCAGGAATAGTAGTGGGAGTAGTGATATCATGAGGATAGGGGAATGGCCAGGGAGGTGTAAGGAGGAGAAAGGGGGAACCCATCACAAGGTTGGATCTACAGCACCCCACGCCCCAAAGAGGACAAAAAACAGAAATGTGGGTGAAGGGAGACAAACAATGTAAGATACCAAATAATAATAATATAATTAATCAAGGATTCACAAGGGTGGGAAGGAGGAGGAAGAAAGAGGAGCTGATACCAAGGGCTCAAGTCGAAAGAGAATGTTTTGGAAATGATGATGGCAACATATGCACAAATATGCTTGATATAACTGATGTATGGAATGTTATAAGAGCTGTAAAGAGCCCCCAATAAAATGATTATAAAAAGTGATTGCATTGGCCTGCTTGATTTCACATGGGTTCCTGGACGAAGTTCAGTCAGAAAGTCTTAATACAAAATCATACAAATGCTTATTAAACAAAAGTATCAACTCATGGAACTACTGCGCCTCTTCAACGCAGCCTCCATCTAGGTCCGTACACTTTCCAAGGCAGGGTCTCCATCTCGGTCCTCTCCCACCGACACCTCAAAGTGGCGGTTTGGGCAGCCTCAGGACTCAAATCCTGCTACACATTCTTTGAGGTCGGGTGGCCTAAAGGTGTCTGAAGGGCCAAGGTAAAGATGAGAGGGGGGTTGGATGAAGATTTCTCCAGAGCAAGCGTTCTTGGAGGATGGCCCTGGCTACCCTAGAAGAATGAGCAGGTGTTAATTGGCATGATGGGGAAAAAAATTCCTTGGGGTAAAATTCCTGGCCCTTTTTCTCACCAATGCAGTTTTTCAGTTTTCTTTAAACTTCTTCCCAGTAATTTGTAATCTTCCTGTGTCCTTCAAGAAAATCTGTCAAATGAGCCCTGGGGGATCCCAAGAACCAGCCACCATAATCTTTGGCTGACTTGACCTGCCCCAGCAGCTCCCCTTGAAAGCACTGTTTTGACTGAAACTTTCTGGAAGGTGCCCTGGAACAAGACAAGACAGTGTATTCCTGAGTAAACTTCCCTGCAGCCCTCCACTGAGGGCAAAGACGTGCTTCAGTATGTTTTGTTTGGAATAAACCCTTGCATGTATGGACCAGAACCCTACTTTTTAGTGTACCCGCTGTCATTCTACTTTGGAAATCTCAACACTGCACTCTTCATGTAAATGAAGTGCTAACAGGGTGAGGCTTTACTGCGGGTAACTAAGTTGCCATCCAGATGCACGCTTGCAGGAAGATCTTTGGTTCTCAGCATGACGTTGGTTGTGGGGTCTACGTACAGCTAAGGGAGCACCTGCCATTTCAGCCAGCTGCACGTGGACAGTTAAGAAACATGGGTTGCATCCACCATGTGGTTTAACTGTGATGTGGACTACCAGAAGCCTCTTCTGGCCGGCCACCATGCTTGGTGGCGTCCAGCACAAAGTGACAATGGGGCCCCTGGCCCCAGAATGGATGAACAACCCCAGATGATGGCAGCGGAGCAGTTCATCCAGCTTGGAGATGGCCTGCCTCATGGCACAGGCCACACCGGCAGAAGCTCACTCTGTCCCAGGTACTGACTATTCTGGAGAAAGTTTTAGAGGAACCAGAAGCCGGGAAAAAGACCACTGTAATGAAACAAGGCTGACTGTCTCCCTGCCTCTGATTGAGTTGACGGGAAGGCTCTGAAACCCAAGGGGGTGTCAGTAAGTTCCTGGGAAACCCAAGGGGGCGTCAATAAGTTCCTGGAGAAAACCCATTGTGGCTCAAGTCCCTATTTCCACAAAGCCCCTCCCACCCACCCATCGCCTCCCCACACCCCACCCCCAATCACCTCCACATGTGCTCCTGAACTTATGCAGGCTGGACGAGACAAAAACCATCTTGGCACTCTCCCCCTGGATGGCCCAGATGCCCTTTGAGCGTTCACAGGGAAGGCTTGCGGAAGTTACCATGCTAGCGATGCTCGGGAGCCCTGTGGGGCAGGGAATTGGGCTGCTTTCCTAAAGGTCAGCAGTTTGAAACCACCAGCTGCTCCAAGGGAGGCTTTCCCACTCCAGTCAAGAGTTCCAGTCCCAGAAACCCACGGGAGGATGCGACCTGCCCTAGCGGGTATCTGTGAGTTGCCCTCCACTTGATGGTGGTGGGCTTGGCTTTTGTTTGGTCTAGCAATGCCCACAGGTGCCTGGTCTTTACCTTCTTCATGGCCCAACTGCTTGTTCTTGGCCCTCTTCCGGGCCTCAGCTTTGTCCGTGTCCGCGTTGACCGCCTTGTACACCGTCTCCACCACCTCCTGCTGCCAGCGCTCTGAGATGACCAGGGGGAAGTTCTTGTAGAGTTCTTGGTCGCAATCAAGCAGCTTGTCGGTGTAAGAGATCAAGACACATAAGGTTTAGCACACTCAGGAAGACTAAGGACACAGACACCCATCCAGGGCACAGCTGAATGTGGGGTGGTGGGTGGACAATCGGACAGATTGTCCCTTCAGTTCCCTTTGTCCTGAGAGAACACCAGGGGGTCAGTAGTCTAACAGGCTAGTGATTTATAGGGAGAAGAAGGAACCAGGATCTGAAGGCACTTGCCAATCAGAAAAACCAACTGGGGATGTTCCCCAGCTACGCTTAAAACCAGACCAAACTAAAACCCACTGATGAGTCAATTCTGACTCCCAGCCATCCTACAAGACAGGGGAGAATGGCCCCTGTGGGTGTCCAAGACCCTTTCTCTGAATAGAATGCCTCAGGTGTCTCCTGAGGAGCAGCTGATGGATTTGAACCGCTGATCTTGCAGTTTGCAGGCCCAATGTGTTACGCACGGTACCACCAGGGCTCGCTCCAGCTACTCGTAGTGCCCTTTTAACAGAATGTGTCCACTGTGAGGTCACGTTGTGTCTGTCCTGGGGCGGTATACGTGGCTCCTGCCCTCAGCTGCTGACCAGAGTGGGAGGTATGAGTTCAACCACAAGCACCTCAGAAGAAAGGCCTGCCAAGCTACTTCTGAAATGTTAGTCCTTGCAAACCCCAGAGAGCTCTGCTCTACGCTGACGTGCCTGGAGTTGGCGGGGGTGACGACTACAGCTTGGTTTTGTTGGGTTGAATTTCACTGGGTTGTTTTTGTAGCGCCTTCCCCCACGTTTCAATTTTGTCACACCCCAAAGTGGTCCTCGGTTTGAGGTCCTCAGTTGTTCTGAATGTGAGTAGAGGGGTGTGCCTGTCTGTTTATGCTGCGTGTGTGATTTGTCAGGCCCCAGGTCTGATGGACAGCTTTGAATCAGGCCACTGTGAAGAGTCTGAAGAGCCCATTCAAAATAAAAAACACACCCTCTCCCAAGGTCAACCCATTCACTCACAGCCAATGGACACGCCAATAAGCTTCACAGCGACTCTATGGACAGAGCAGAACTGCCCGTGTGGGTTTCTGAGCCTGTTAGTCTTTATGGGAGTAGAAAGCGTCTAAACTGCCGACCTTTATCTGTTAGTAACCCAATGGTCAACGTTGGGTTACTTCAACATGATGGATAGCCTGCGCCTCAATGGTTTGAATTCAGCAGCCACGCTGAGGAAGAGAGATGAGCCTGACTGTTCCCCCAAAGGTTAACAGCCTTAGCAGCCCTGAGCGACAGTTCAACGCTGGTCCTACAAGGTCACTCTAAGTCGGGGTTCACTTCATGGCAGCAGCTCATACATCAGGGAAATGAAACCAAACCGAGGGCCCTGCCATCAGCTCCATTCTGACTCACAGGGGCCCGACAGGACAGGGTGGAACGGCGCCTGTGTGTTCCAGACTGTCGCTCGTTAGAGGACCAGACAGCCTTATCTTTCTCTTGGAGTGGCTGGTGGTCTTGAACTGCTGACCTTGCCGTTACCAGCCCAAGGTGTAACCACGATGTCACCAAGGCAGGAAAGCCTTGATCTTTATGCTTCTGTCTGTGTTGCTGGTTACGAGTTGGTTTGAAGCCACCAGCTGCTCCAAGGTGGAGCAAATGTTTTGAGAAGGATGATGGCAACGAATGCACAAATGTGCTTGACACAATGGATGGATGGATTGTGATAAGAGTTGTACGAGCCCCCAATAAAATGATTTTTTTTTAAATTAAAAAAACCAAAGAATTAGAGCTTAGGAAACCACAGGGGCAGTTCTACCCTGTCTTACAAGGTCACTATGGGTCCGCATTGACTTGATGGCAGTGAGTTGGGTTTGGGTTTCTGTTGTTAAGAGTGAATAGAACAGAGATGACAATTGATGTTACATAACTGAGCTTTTCCTGCTTCATGTCATGTGTGCCTGTGTGCATGGGCAGCTTCTGAAGGGTGAAGAGCAGGCTACTGTGTCCTGTAGTTGTTATAGCTGCCACAGAGAGGGCCCTCCTCATGGTGCTCCAAGCTCAAAGAAAAAAAGTGCCACCTGGCCCCACATGGCCCCCGCCACCATCATGGTTGCTTGGGGTTTAAACTATTGAGAACCACTGTGGGCTTTTCCCTGACTGTTGTTCATCAACATATCACCAGGCCTTTCTTCCTACTCTTCGTCTGAAAGACCTGCTGACACCTAAAGCCCAGATCTGCCCCCCGCCCCAGCTGTAACCCCCTGCAGAGCCTCCTTGTGGTCCTACTTGGAACTCCCCTTCTCTGGGCTCATGGCCAGAGACATCAACATGTGATGCTCACAACAGAGCAGGTCTATACCCTTCTGTAGTGTACCGTGATGGCTTAAATAGGTTCTCTTTGCTCCCATTGCTGTCACAACAAGTCCCACTCACTCATGACATGACGATGCTTAGGGCACGCCTTGGGGGACATCTCTCTCTCAACTTTTTATTATGGATTGGATGAAGGTGGTCAGAGTAGCTCATCAGTTTCACATCCAAAGATTCATGAGCATTCTGTTTCATCTCATTCTCTGTGGTCTCTCCTCAATGGACCATCACTTAGCCCACTTCCTCCCTGCTTCCTATTCTTGGCCTTCCTCTTTCCTAACCCTCTTGAACTCTGTCTTTGGGTCACATGCCTTTTGGATCTCCAGGGACTGATGAGCCTAAGGTGTGCCCAATCCCCCACCCCCATTCCCACCCCCGAGAAATATTGTTACTCTTATAGGACTGTCTATTGTTTGGCTAGGAGTCCTGGTGCCCTTATGGTTATACGTTGAGCTGCTAACTGCTAGGTTAGCAGTTCAAGACCACTCAACACTCCTATGAGTCGTAACAGACTGCATGGCAGTGAGTTAAATGGTTTGGCTGAAAATTGAGGGATGGAGGGGCGAGTTCCAGACCAGAAGGAAGGACCTAGGACCAGACTGCAGTCTCGAAGATTCTGCCAACATCTATCCAACCAGTAAGCCTGGCCTTTTTGATGGTTTAGAGCACCTCTGTCAATCTTTCTGGGAGCAAGAGAGCTTCATCTTCCTCCCAAAGAGTGGCTGGTGGGTTTGAAACACTGATCTGGCAGTGAGCAGTCCATCACTTAAGCCACTGCGCCACCTCGCTTCCTTTCTCTCCAGTATCCTCAGGGAAGTCTTATAATGAAACACCCATTTTACAGATGAGAAAACCAAGGCTCAAGCGGCTTC